ATATTAAATTATTCAGAATTGGTCTTGCGAAGTCTTGTTTTCTTTAACATCACAATTGCATAAATTTTATATACATTTGTATACTATACACAATATTTTACTTTATACAGAGTTGTGACCTCGCCAACCTTACACACGTGTTGCTAATTTAACGTATTATACACCACTACTATTCGTATTACTCATTCCTTGATTTCTGCGCATTACTTGAATGTTTGTGGCGCAGCAAAAATTCTTTAATGTTCATTTATGTTAGAGTTAGGTCAGAGTTATGGGTTAGAAGAAGGTAGTTTAGTAGTAAAATTGCCCAATGAAAACTTTTTATTAGATCACCAAAAGTGGTTTTTTATGTATAATTTCAAGAAATAAACGATTTTGACAAAATGTTTGTTTTGAATTTTTTTTATCGCACCTGATCAAGGGGTACGATTTCTGCGCATTCCGTGAAGAGAAAAACTACGGGTACAACATTTTACGTGACTTATAGACACAACATTGACCTGAGTAAGTTAACGTTAGGGTAAGTATTTTAGTAATGCCGGTCATTGTTGTGCACATAAAGCACATAATCATGTGAAATGTTGTGCCCGTAGCAACCTCCAAAAAAAATTATTTAGTGAAAAGGAAACATAATAACTAGTTCAAAGTAGGTGAGAATTTTGTTCTTCAGAATTGAAAGCACACTATAAAATTTGGTGGTTGTTAAAAGTAGAAGTTCATCTCATTTGACCAAAACAATGATGACTCATGTCAGTCAGAATCAGTTGATTAGACTTAAGCCTAACCATGCGACCCTGAACGACATGCGTCATTGATTTGGTCAAATGAGATGCGTCATTGTTGTGTTACATAATGCAGCAGTAAAAAAATTGAACTTCTGAACCTATTTTAACAACCACCAATTTTATAGAAAAGTGCTTTTAATGCAAAGAACAAATCCCCACCTACTTTGAACTAGTTATTATGCTTCCTTTTCACTAAATAAAAATTTTTTTCGACTCAAATTTTCATATGAAATTTTAGGTGCGTTGATCATCTGACTATAATAGAAAATTTTACATGTGACAAATCGTGTGACTGTTATTGTTGATTGGCTAGATCGGGTGTAACGTAAAAAAAAAAAACAAACAAACAAAACAATCATTTATTTATTTAAGGAGATTGCAACCTTTTTTTAATTTTTTTTAATTAATTACCAGTAAAAAACATGGGTAAACATCGCTATACGCAAGACGAACCGCCGATAAAAAAACAAAAGCCGAATCCCTCTTCTGTAAATTCATATGTATATTTCATATATGAACAATTTATTCGAATTTAATAAGTTAAGAAAATTATATAAATCCATTATAATTTTTAAAGGATCCTGCCGATTATGCCGGATCAAGTCAAAATGCGTCAAATGAACCTAATGCTGAATAACAGAACAAGAGGCGTACTCACGTCAAAAGATCGACTGGAATAAGGTTTGGAATAATTGTTATTTTTTTTTTTAGATGCTGAATTCTCTCTCAGTATTAATTATGCTTTTTCTCTTGCAGAATCGTTGGCTTGATTTTGTTTTGATATGTGAATATGGTCAAGATTCAGTAATAATAGTTTTATAATACTTGTAAAAAGAATGTTCGAAATAAAAGTACTTTTGCTGCGTCAAAATCAAGAAATATTATAACAAAGCACATTTAATAGTTTTATATATGAATGCATTAACGTTTCAAGCAAACTATTCTAATGATCTTGACCAAATCAATTACGATTTGTTCGCAAGCTCTTGACCAATCTTGTAGTTGGAGATCTTTAAATCACATAAATTAATCGAAATTTAATGAAGCTAACGTTTTACCCTTCTCTCGGCCTTTACACTTGATTTCCTCTGTTTCTTTTCTTCTTTTGATTTAGTTTTTGATCTGGGTACGCCTAAATTTACTAATGAAATATGCAGAATCATAATAATAAAAAAATTTATGATTCATATATATTGTGGATGATATTGAAAATTTGGTCTTTATTTGACAAAGTCATGTGCTAGCTCTGCTATGAACCTACTTTACTCAGGAACCCGGAGAATTTTGGATTTTATTTATATGAATTTCAAATTATAAATAAAATTCGAATTTTTACAGGTCCCCGCTTCTATTAACGACTCTCCTAAAGTTCATGTACGATAAATCCAGATTTCAGCATTATCTAGTATCATCCGCGACATTTTTATTACTTGATTTCCGCAACTTCAACTTGTCTTTCTGAATCAGATTCTTCGTTTTTGAGAAGTTTCTTACCATCAGAGTCTGTATTCGACTTTTTACGAGGTTGCTTGCGTATTAAGGTCGGATGGTTTTCAAGATTTGAATATGTACCTAAAATCGGTAATTAATAGAATTTCCGCAGAGAAACCTAGAAGGTTGCTGTTATATAACATATAGAAGTGCTTACTCAGAATTGATTGACAATCCCAAGCCTGTTTTTTGTAAATGGTTCACTTTCAACCTCTACATACTCTTTACTCGTCTTAGTATACTTGTTAACCATTTCTTCATTTAACTCAGATCCTTGTTCATTAATATGGACTTATTCCAATTCTTGACGAATTGCTTCCAATTGATTTTGTACTGTATTTTCTGATTTTGGCATAATTTTCCGGCCGCTAATTTCATATTTATCAAGTAATTCATAAAAAATTTTAGAAAATCTTGCCGAACTTAAGATGACGACGTTGATTCGATATCAGAATCATTGTCATTATCTTCCATATACTCCTTTTCGATCTAATTCGAAAGATCTAGAAACAATTAAGACCAAATTTTTCGGTTATGAATATAAATATATTATCATCAACCCTTTCAAATTGATCATCCAATAATCGAAGTTTATCGTTTCTATGCATAACAGAACTTGACATAGAACAGTTGCTGGTAATTCTTGATCTCTATCGTCATTATATTCTTCATTAATATCCTTTTCTAATTTGTTCTAATTTTTCCGAAATTTTTGAACCTCTATTTGCCAATTACTCTCTTCAGCCTTTTCTTTTTCATAATCCTATTGTTCTTCAGGTAATTTTTCAGCGTTAAGAGCTGAAAAAAAATCATCATCTAAATCATTTTCTATGTATACATCATCCTCAAGATCTTCCAAAGTTTCTCTAAGCTTTGGATTCATGTCTGGTTGAAATCCTTGTATATTTAATTTAAAGCAGACGCATGTATAGCGTATAAAGGAACCTAAGCTATGAATATTAGTATATATAGTACCATCAAGGGTATAAGATTGGTTGAAGAATCCAATTGGCATTTCTTATTTTGATGGTAATACTTCATCTGGTAACATAATAGTAACTTTTCTATCTTTTTTCGAGGTTCCTGGTTCATTTTTTAAGGATAAGAAGCAAAATATCTACATAATTTCTATAATATCGCACTTTGGTTAAAACAATTTCAAAGATCAGTAGGAACAATTGAAAGACAAGCACGTGAGAAATTATCATCATTACGAAACACATGTACGACATGTAATGACTAATTAAGATTACCTGATAATTCGATTCTCATTGATTTTCGACAAAATCAAGCTGACGACCTATTTTCTAATCCTTGGATGGGGCTTCAACGAATATAGCACCTTCACCCCCTTTTCCAATCGATTTTAAAGTCATAATCCGTGTCATCGAAATCTATACCGTATAATGCTGCTCGACCTATGCGATTTTCGAATTATACGTATTCCAAATCGATCCGTTAAATCAATAGAGATTTAAAAAAAAAACTTTCAATGTCAGCCTGCTTCCGATTTTGGGCGTGTTCACGTATGTCATCATTAACTTTCCCTAAACGTTAAAATAAAATTACATGTTCTGTGAATTTATCAAGTCCATGTCCACGTTTTATTTAAGGGTGATAAGACAAGTTTGTGGATGAGCGTAAAGCTCATAATCATGTTTTATTGGCTTCTTTCGTTTGTCAGTGAATAATGGTTTTTACAGTAAATTTCATATAAGTTTTATCTAGAATTTCTCATACAAATCATGAAACCCGTAAATTCGGTGGGATACTTCAATTTGCACTTTTGATGAGGCATCTGAATCATTAATTAATCAATCTCTCCGTGATCTGTGAACTTCAGATGATAAATAACTTTGAACTTTAATAAATGTATTTATAAATGATATTCATTTATTGAAATTTAAATAATACAGGTATATAAAATAGAGACTAAAAATAAAAAATAAAATACGCCTGTAATTGTGGTAAAAAAAGAAACGAGGTAGACCAAAAAAAGCTCTTGAAGAGAGCCCAGAAAATAAAAATATTATCTATTTTCCAAAATTAACCCCGTAACAGGAGGTAACAATTGATCACAAAATTTTAATTTAGGATCAACTTTACCACTTTTAGTTCTAATTTTATATTTCAAAATAAGTTCATGTAAACATATTTTGATTTCAGTGACTGCAAAAATTCTACCAGGGCAGGCATGCTTACCACCTCCAAATGGTATATAGTATTTTTCAAGTTTCGTTGTCGGTGAATAATTTATGGATCCACCAATATTCGAGGTTAAATATCGATTGGGCAGAAAATTTTCAGAATTTTGGTAAACTTGAGGATTAAAATGTGAATCTGTCGCATAAACGACTACCACACGACCTACATAATTAATTAGAAGTACTTTTAAGAAAAATGCATGTACAATAATAATTAAATAAATAAATATGTATACCTTGACGAATCGTGGGGCCTGTACTAAACGTATATGAATCCTTACTTACGGAAGTCTTAACCACAACTAAATATATAAAATGAAATTTTGTTTAATACACTTATAAATTATTTTATCTTATTAAATATAGTATTTACCAGGAAAAGAATGACGAAGAGTTTCCTTCAATAAGCCATCCAATTTGGCCATTTCATAGACATCATTAATAGTTAGTTTACCATTTGTTCTATTGGAGATCATTAATTGTTCGTGATAAATATCATTCCATATGTCTGGGCGGCCAGCATATTCTAATTTCATAAAAGTATAAAAATAAGTTATTTGCATGTCATTATTGAAATTTACATTTACATTTATTATTACCATAAAATGCTTCTGTAGCAACTTTAACAGTCGTAAAAAATGCCGCAAAAAGTGTAACAGACAAATGTTCAAATAAAAATTCCATAAATTTATCATTTACATCTTCCACATTAGTAGGTGTAGACTTCGAATTACTTAAATAATGATCCATTAAGTCTTCCTAATATTAGGAAAATATTCGTTTCAGATATCTATATTTCTTTAAAAATATAAATATATATTGTTTCAAAAAAAATTTGCATACTTGTTCAATATATCCACTACCCGAAATTTGCCTTTGATAAATGCGTTGTTCAATGATGGGTTTTACTAACTTTATGAAGAGTTTTTTTGGTTTATTAATTGGGTTCCATCCAAATCTTAATAGCCAACTAATAGATTATAAAGTATAATAACAAAATTTTAATATTAAGTAAATAAACCAATAAAATTCAGATTAAATAAATCATTGGTTGAATATAGTACGAAATGGCCTTTATATGTAGTGAAGGATTAATAAGTGATAAGACCGGTGGTATTAAAAGCAGCATTCCAAGCTGTCTTAATAATATCGTAATCGAAGTAATCAATTCTTCAAGTTGGCTTGCCTCCTTTACATAATAATTGTCATGGTAAGAATATTATTATTAGTAATTAAAATATCCTGATCCATGTGTATAAGTGGAAACAAGGTTTCCGCTTACATAGGCCTAGCGCTTGGCACAATCAAGCAAAAACTTGATGGTCAAATACTTGATTAGGTCGGATATCAACTATAGATATACGTAAGTATATGTCGTGCATCAGATTAAAATTTGCGTCAGTAAATTAAATGCAGTGTTTTTTTAGGGTTAGGGTGGTGCCTATGTTGGGCATTGGCGGAATTACGCGGAATTATAATGATTTTAATCTGACGCAGATTTTAATTTTACGCACGATTTGATTATTTGATATCCGACTTGATCAAGTATTTGACAATCAAGTATTTGACCGTCAAGTTTTTGTTTGATTGTGCCGAACACTACATAGGCCATTTTTGCTAAATATCTCATGGTTTTATATAGTGATCATGGTATTTTTGCATATAAATTTAACAATTAAGCCTAAAAGTTAAACTTACTTCTCCAAATATTATATTGAATATAGGGCGTACAATTATAAATAACATAGTATCTCCAAAATGTTTGATAACTTTTGGTTCTAGAATTCAGTTAATAATTATAGTTATAAATCTTAACTTTCAACATTAGCTATTGTGCTAAACAATGAATACAAATTACCTTTACAATCACCAACATATAATTCGATTCCCTTTTTAATTTCTTTCTGCAGTCTAGGTATGTATTTTCCTATCTTTCCACTTATTTTTTCGCGAATCGCTTTAGCAAGAAATTCCAGATCACCAAAGCCTTTGACTTGTTTAAAAGCTAAAGGAAATATAAGTGTCTATTATGATAAAAAAAATTAAATTATAATTATTAGGTATTATGCAAAATATTATACCCTGCTCTAAACGTACCTCCACTAGAACTTTCTCATGGTCAAAAGTTTTATGTTCTCTAAAAACTTCACTCGAAGTTTTATTTCCTACATAAGTTAGTACAGATCCAAAGATATAAATATTGAATGGATCACCATACTTTGTGAAATAAAACAATTTTTGAAAAAATGTTAATACGGTTAAACAACAATAACAAAAAAAAAAAAACAGGATATGAAATGTTTGCAATATTTTTACTTTTTCTCTACATTCGGCAAGAAATTTATCGGCATTAAGCATATAACTAATCGTATGTCCAATAATAGGTAAAGTATATGGAACCATGGGTGGTTCATTCTATATAGATGGACCATAATCAATTAATGCATTGATAAATATCTTATTATGCAGCAAATCGAGGGTTTTGATAGACATTAAATTATTAATATTAACTTACCGCATCTAACTGAAGTCGTTTGTTAATTAAATAAATTAAATAACCCAAGATGATAATTAGACAAAAAGCTATGAAAAATGCCATTTCGATTTTCTTTATGTTTAGTGAAATATGGTTATCAAAAAAAAAAAAAAATTCACAAACTTATATAAGAATTTTTATTCTTATACCTTACGCGTTGAAATTCTGAGAACATAACTATTTGTGGACCATACACGAGTAAAAGAAATACAATAAGAACCAATAAGAATCTTTACTATTGCCAATTTAATTTCCAAAAGAAGTTTGATCAAATATAATTATCAATAAGATATTATCATATTTTACCTACGTGATGCGATTTTTTTACACATATAAAATTAATATCATAAGTAATACACGATACATTGGTATGCGACAAGCATTGAGAATCTACTCAATTTGGCACGAAGGTTACTTTATTCCGCAAAATTTGATAATAAAATAATATCTGATTGATATTATTTCGATTGCTGATTATTAATATAGAATACACTCTCAAATCCGATATTCATGTGGACAGCATTTCATTTGTATCAGTTTTGAGAGATTATCAGGTTTAAAATACTAATGAACACTGGATAGATGATCATAATTGGTTAAATTATATTTATTATATGGGATCATTGCTAGGAAAATGATCCTCAAAGACTATGTTGATTTTGTGAATAAAAATTAATTTTGCCGCTAATTATCCAATTTGAATGAACTTGTTTTTATTTGGTAGAGCTAATTGAGCTCTACAAATAAAGAAATAGTTCATTCAAATTGGATAGGTAAACGGGAGACAAATTCAACATAGTCTTGGAGGGTCATTCCACTAGCAATGATCTCATACAGTATATGCAGGGTTGACAATGGACTATTATATCCTGAAAAAAATATCAATGGACATTGTCCATTGGGTCAATGGACATAGTCATAGTCCATTGGAAGCTACTAAGCCACATTTTTGTCCATTGGCCAACCCTGAGTATATGTATTTATACATGTGTGCCTAAATTATTTTTGAAAAAAGTATTTTCGGAAAACATTTCGGCATTGCTAGATTTTTTATATTAAACCCTCCGAAATAACTATACTATATGATGTATTCAGATCAAAAGAGCCCAAAAAATTTCGGCAATAATTTCGGCAAATATGTAAATTAATTTCGACACTACATAAGACTAATTTCGGCTGCCTAAATGCTGTAATTACTTTTTTATTAAGATGGGCAATTTAGGCACACATGTATATATGTACTCTTACACAAAACCGATATGATCCAATCAAATTGATATATTCTATCTACAAACCTGATATCTTACAGATATTGATCTTTTGACTATCAATTATTAAAATAGCAGGCTATCAGGAACTAACATGTTGGATCAATTTTTTATCGGTTACGAATAAAATTGGTGACGTATTTGTTTCGTAATAAGCGATCTGTAAATCCTACCTTTTTTGTTTGATAATTGATCAAAAAAATATTCCTACTTCATTTTCTGTACTGCTCCTAACAATCGTTTCGGGTCAAGTTGGGTTTATGGTTATTTTAAAACCAATCTAGGTTTGCAAATGTGCGAATTTTATATGCTAAATAATAGCATTTGAAATAGAATTTAAAGTTTAAAATCATTCTATTCAAAACGATATAATTGGAATTAATAGATCAATATTCTTAATGCTCTCACTTCAGCAATCTAATCTATTTACCTTACAATTTTCTTCTCAAAACGCTGCAAGAATAAATGCATTACTATACATTTTAGGTTAGGTCATTGGTTTTGGGAAATGGGGATAAACATTACTTTTATTATGTTAAAATTTTATTCACAATATTTTAATTAGTGTGTAATGTCTGTTTAAACATTTGCTTCAATTATTTTCGCGTTCTTTGTCTTTTTTCCTCTCGCACGTGTCCAGATTTGTCAGGCTGATCTGGAGATCTGGGAAAATTAAATTTGAACTCGTTTTTGGGAGTTTGTATTACTTGCGAAAATAAGTGAGATTTCTACTTTGTGATTTTGGTATATATTGATAGTTATTATTGTTACGATTCGTTGCATGAGAACTGGATGAATCTGTTTTTGTAATTATCATCGCGATCTATATTTATACGACATCAAATAATTGAGGGAAAAGGGGTGGGTAAATTAAGATGATAGGTTGTTATTAAGGCAAATTCTAAACATCAATCATTTTGAAACTAATCTCGCTTGTAAGAACTTTAGCTTATTTAAAATATTAAACACAAAATCAACAATATCAATTTAAAATTAGAATCGAATTTTAAACGTGATAAACAAGTTAAAAATTGATAAGGAATTGCATATCGGAAGCACTCGGATCATTTCTGTAGATGGAATAAAAGGTTATACATACAGAATTTAGATTTATTTGGAGTCTCAAAAGATTTTCAGGTTAGGATATACTGTTGACCCTCTCAAAACCGATAACCTGTCATTCCGATGTCTGATAGTCACAGTACTGGCACATGATCAGGCCATAACAGGTCATATTACTAAGTAGTGATACAAATCGAAAATCGAATTTATCGATTAGTTGTAAAGCTGACAACTAATCGATTTGAATTTTACAGTCCAGTTTAGTCGACTAATTAATTAGTCAGATAATCGATTAATCGATTGGCCAACTAATCGATTAATCGATTGGTCAACAAATCGATTATCGTGGTTTGCAAAATCATATGGGCCAAAATTTTTGATGGGAATTTTGTGATTAGTAAAATTAAGTGACATAGTAATAAAATAATATTTATGATGGGCTACATTTAATTAAAACTGCTAAAAGCTCATACGATTCGTAAAATAACTTATAAACGGTTTCATAAGGGTTTCAT